GTATTATTTCATTATTAACCTTTAAATGGCTATTTGCATCCTGGTTATCTGTCATTTTAAAAACGTGTTTGAAGGTACTTGCTAAGTATTTGCAAATTGCAAACATATGCACAGAATACATATAATTTACCATAAATTTAAAAATTATCATAAGTTAATGTACTATGGTAGTATACTATTTATTTACATGCTCTTAAAAATCTTTTATTCTGAAGGTTTTAAAAATTTTAATCATAAATATATGGTTCTAAATAAACTCTCATAAAACTCTCTCCAAAAATAACACAGCATGCATCTCTTTGATCTCAGATATAAAAATATACTCTAGGAACACACTCAAAATTATAATTATTGCTGTTAGTCAATTTTAGAAAGGATTTGTTAAACTTCCATGAAAAGCCCTGGGTCCTATGAAGATAAAAAAAAATGAAAACAACAAGACAAGCTGCCTGTCCCAGGAGGATCAACTCAGAGTAAGGAGAAGACCTGACCCAGCCTTCAATCACTGTAGCAGCCTAATAACTTTAGTCACTGGTCCTGAATTCTCACAGGTTGAGAGGATGCCAAGGTCACAACWTTTCCTAGTTTGTATAGGTTGAGCATTCCTGAAACTTTTTGAGTAATGATATAATACTCAACATTTTTTTAAATCTAGGTGCCTTTTGGATATTAAATATTCAGATTAATGATGCTCAAATGGTAATGTCTAAAATCCAAAAATCTCTGAAAGATGGTCCCAAACATTTTGGATAAGGAACACTCAACTTGGAAGAAACCAAAGTCAGGCCATTGCTTAGGAGGGGGCACAGAAAGAAACAGCAGGACAATACTAATCTATTGTTTCAAAAATGAAATGGAAAGCYACTGATACAGGAAAAGCAGAATCAAGTCCTGATCTTAGGCCCAGTCTGAATTAGGGTGCTCACATCCACACTGACTATGATGCGATCCAATATTTGGTTATCTGAGCCCAGGCAGTCATGATGTATTTTGTTATTATAATTAGCACACCTGCCAAAACCGTGGAGTCTTCCTGGGCAAGTTCATTGACAGGAAGGAAAGAGAAGCCAACAGCCTTCCTTCCCTTGTAAAACCTTTTCCCTGTTCACTAACAGATCATTGGCAGGCAGCAAGATGCACTGATAGTAGCTGGTGTTCACACAAATCAAATTTGCTACTTATCAGCAGCTCTGATAAGAGGTAAAATGGAATAAAAATGCCTCTGGGGAGGAAGCACTAAAATCAGATTTGTTTTCTTCCTTGTGGATTTTTATAATCCCTGCTTTCCATAGCTCTCATCATGGAAAATTTTGAGTTCTTTATAGAGGAGTTCACTCTGCTTTCCTTTGTTAAACCCTCCCTTTCCCCCTGCCTCACTCTCCTAATTAATTGTTTACAATATCTGGGCCACAAAATCTATGACAATGCAAGTCCAATGGACCACCAGGGTGGTCTGTGCAGACTCTTCACCCACCTCTCACTCTCACACAAACCATCTTTTAGAAAAACAGGTCTGGGATCAGAAAGGAAGTTTGAGGTTAGAATAAAAAAAAAAAAAGAGTAAGCTCATCACCAGAGTTGAAATATAGGACATTCTGCCACCTTCATTTCCAACATAAGCATGCAAGGAATATACCAGCAATTGCAAGGACCCTTATGATTTTATAAAAGGGAATTTAGAAGCAAGATCACCAAGTCCCAAAATGTTTGAATACTTTCTAAAACATTCTGGAATGGTTTACTTTTAATTAAACACTGGTGGACTGTGGTCAGATGACTATAATATAATGCACAAACTCAAATATGCTTCAATTCATACTGTTAATAGTATCTTTTGAGATTTAGAAAAAAATAAATATTCATCAAATGTGGAATCTAAATTTCCTGCATTAGCTAATTCCTTTAAAGTATGGATCCTTGAGATAATTAGTCACCATATTGACATTTAAGAATGGCATTAACACTAAGAATAATAGATGTTGTAGAGGTAATTACAATCTTGAAAGATCTTTCTTCCTAAGTCATGTTGTACATAAGCACCACACTTTTTCAGCATAGGCAACAGATGTAAATTGGTCACAAAAACATATTGCAGGTAAATTTTTTTTCTCTCCATAAAAAATAAAAAAATTTCAGCCTTCAGCTATATTTCTCAACATTTGTTTCCACTGAAAATTAATAAATCCCTCTCCTCTCCTTCAACTGTCTTCCTTTACTTTCTCCTTCTCTTCTTCTAACTCCTCTACAATGACTACAAACTTACCCTCTGGTTAGTAACAACAATTAAAAATCACCAAAATCAGATATAGAAATGGAAGATATTTTATGCAAAAATATCTTCCAAGTGAACCAAAGGGGGCCATGAGTCTTCTTGAGAAATAACACTTTTCACATTTCCAGTTTATTTCCTTCACTCTTATAAAATAGAATTGCTTTTTTTAAAATTTCCCCAAATTTTGAGGTTTTACCCAGGTTTTAAAATCTGCTAAAATTCTTGAGAGAACTAAGGTATAGCTTCCTAGAGTGATTATATGCTATTTGCCCCATAACATTTGAAAAAATGTATATAGTGATAGGAAACAGATGGCAGAATGGCACTATAAAGCCACCCATGCTGCTCTCCTGGTGGCACAGATCATTTAACCAATATAACTGATGGTTTAATCAACCTAACTTTTCTCTAGTACTTGAGACAAAAACAATCCTTATCTGGTTCAGTCAGGAAAGTCAAAAATTAGCAATAAAAATCCATTGAAATCAGAAAATTCAAACTGCTTCCTAGACATGAATGTATTACTGAACTGATATTTCCCAAGTTAGCCTTCTGGGATGTCAACTGCCTCAAAATGTCATTAAAGTGACAAAGAAAAAATGCTAGGGCAAAGAACTAATTAGCTCCACAGGGATACATCAGTCATGAAGTCTAGGTTTCAAAGAGTAGATTATCAATTGTTAAGCAGGGAAAACTATAAACAGGAGTCACTTCTTCAATATAAACCCAATCTTTTAAAGCAGACATTTGGGATTGCCCTGCAAAGCAGTGGGGTATTGATTGACAGGTTTTCCTGCAGTCTAAGACAAAGATCTGTATGAGTGATACCTATGTACAGGAGAAGATGTGTGAGGGTTAACCAGAAAATGGCAGAAATTGATGCACAGATGGTTCTCCTTGGGAAGACTAGGAGACAACTAATTCTATGGGCCTACATCTAACATACCTCTAAGAATTCTCTTTTCCACCTCCATCAGTCCATAGGAGTCTATAATATTCAGTAATTTGGATGTGATCAATTGTTCCCTGATCCTCTTTTTTTCCAACTTTCCCCCTTCCCCTTTCTTTTCTCATTTTTAGATAGAATAAGATCCCTACTCTTCATGGTAAGTTGAGTACTTATCTGCTGAGACATTCAGAAATGTGTTCTAGCAGATCTGCATGGTCTCCATGGTCCTTCTGATCTACGTGGCCATACACCTGCTGGATTTTATAACACCTCTCGGTGAGGAAAAGAAATAGCATGTGTCCAGTGAGAAAAACAACAGAAACACTGATACATATAGGGAAGAAAGGAACCTCCAAGATTAGGGATTTTTATGCAGGAACAAAGGAGGCAAAATAAAAATAGATGATTTTTCCATTACTGCTGTCATCCAAAGGCCATAATTTTCTTTGTGAACACTGGTAACTCCAATAATAGCAGGAAATTAGTCAATGTTCTTACATTGGCCCTCTGTCCCTATTTTCCAGAATCTATGGGCCTTGCCTTCTTCCTACCCTGCTTCTAGTATGAAACCTAAATCCCAGAAAGTTTCAAACATCAATCCAGATCAAACATCCCTCTAAAGAGTGATATGTTAGCCAATTCTCAATTGACCAAGTCTTGTCAATAAAAACAGGTCATTTGAAAAGTAGTTTGTAGTTTTCCATATATGTTAAACACACACCTGTCCATAAAAGGAGCAAACATCACACACACACACACACACACACACACACACACACACACAGTCTGAACCTTTGTTTTTTTATATCACCTCATCTAAGGAATCTTCTTAGGCATTTTTCTTGGTTATACACCCCATGAAATCTTAATAACATAGATGTACTATGCATTTATGTATCTAATGTATGTTTATCTATTTTAAGCATTAAAAGAGTGAGACCTTTCTTGGACCCACCAAGAACCAAGTTCCATCCATTGTGAGAAGTGTAATCCCTCACAATAATGCATGATGTTGAAGCATGCAACAATTGAAATCATTTTGCCAGAAATATTTACTGCCTCTCTAATATTGGGTGGAATAGAAATGATCAAAACAACATCTTTCCTTTAGATCAGTCACTTGGGACAGAAGAGGTCCAGAACAGCAAAATCTTTGTCTCCTGCTCTTCCAAGTCCCCAAACTCCCTGCAGTGCTTACTCCCTTTTCTTCTACAAAAGAGTCTCCACAATGAAAAAGTCAATTCCAACTCCATTGTTCTTTCTCCATTTCAATTTTTTTTAATTTTAAATTGTATTAGTCCATCTTCCACTATCAATAAAACAAGACAACAGACTGATGAGTTATAAAGAAGTTTATTTTGGCTCATGGTTCTGAAGGCACATGGTTGAGGGGCTACATCTGGAGATGGCCTCTTTGCTGGCAGTCCTGAGGCAGAGCAAGGCTTCACACGACAAAAGACATGGAGTGTGTGTGTGTGTGTGTGTGTGTGTGTGTGTGTCTTCTGGTCTCTGCCTCCTCTTCTTATAAAGGCCCTATGATGCAGACTTGAGACTCCACCCTGATGACCTTATCTAATCCTAATCACCTCCCAGAGATCCAGAGACCCCCCCAACACTATAGTAAGGCTGTTTCCACCCCCTAAACACCTTACTATGGAAATTAAATCTCAACACATGAACCTTGGTGGGCCCTAAGTCCTATCCAAACCATAGTATGTACTAAAATACATACACTGTTAAAACCATCTCCCACTCCAGAAATGAGATTAACAGACTCACCTCTTGCCGTTTGAAGTTCTGGACATACTCTTCAAACTGTTCATCTTTTGTCTCATCAGCTTTCCCCAGCTTCTGGAGGACCTATTGTGAATAAAGCAAAATGTTTGGGTACAGTGATATTTTCAGAGGAAGCTGTGTTTTCAGTGAACAGGCTGAACAAAGCTGCTGCTTTGCAGTAAGGAGTCTGAGGAGAATCCTCCCTCAACACTGTTAGTTTTCCTGTTCTGAAAGCATCTTGGCTTGGTGACTTTGTAGTTGAACAGACATGGATTTTAATCACAGATCCACCACCCACAAGCTGTGTGATTTTGTACAATGGTCATGCTACATTGCATTTTTTTAAATTATAGATCTGTTTCCTCCAGGAGGCTGTGCATGACTTAAAGAGAGAAGCAATGCCTTTCTTGTTTATTGGCCCAAAGCATCTGACACAAAGCTTAATACATAATATGTATTCAATTATTTGTTAATCAATGAAGCAAAGCTATTTGACTGAAGTATTCTTCTATTTCCTAGGAATAGTGTGAAGTTCTCCCCAGGTATATTCTGATGCTCCCCTCAATTCAATAAATACTCAAAGAGGTCATGGAACACACAGGCCTCATGCTAAACACTGATCAGTGAGAAATACAAAGACAAATAAGAAAAGCCCCAGCACTGAACCCTAAAAAAATGTGTATACAGACAAGGCACATCCATAAATAAGAGATGGAATATGATGTGTTAATAGCAATATAAGCAGTTGCATAAGTGTTATTAGCAATCAATAGTCCTTGGAGTTGATGTCTTTAGGGAATGCTTTCTAGAAGTTATTTACATTGTGCTGAGAAATTTGACAGAGCTCTTTCCAGCCAAGGAAGTGGCCCAAGGGAAAATCACAGCAAAAAACATTACATATCATGAGACTGGGCATGAATAGTCCTGCTTGCCTAAAGCACAAGGCAGGGTACCCGGAAAAGCAGAAAGTCTCCTGAGGACAGAGCAGAAGGATCCAGACGGTCATGATTGGGTTCACTGTTCAATCCTGAATATTCCCTCATCTTGTACCCAAAACATCAACTAACTCAAGAAAATAAAACTGTAAACATTGCCTTCTAGAAATATATCCCCCATGGCATTAACAAACATCCTTTTAAAAAATAAACAAATGAGCATTAAAATATATATATATATATGATGTAAACCATATTCTTGACTAGGTTTTGCAACATTATGCTACTATTTCCCCAAATTGAACCTAGAGCCTTATGCAAACTGAGAAATATTGAAGTGGCCCTTTAAAGCAAGGACAGAGTGAGAAAGTCATCTAAAACTCGGAAAGTGAACAGTGAACAGTGAACTCTGGTGGTTCTTCAGGGCTATGCTTACACGTAGTTTGCACTTTCAATTGGCTTCCACTGGACCATGCTGTTTCACAACTCCACAAGGATGGAAGTTGACTTGAAGAATTTGATCCAGCAGAAAGGCAAATATTTTCTATCCAAGGGACAAGATTCCAAAGGTGATGGTTTATGTCAATGACTAGTTTTGTATCTAACCTGGCAATCATATTCTGAAATTCCTTTATTAAATAGCCTGTAAGTACCTAGCTCCTCGGTATGCTCTGAACACGTTTAATTATCTTACTGGATACTGCATTAATTAATGAACTGAATAAAATTTTCAATCTAGTTTATATGTTTTTTTCATATGCTAGTAGATTTTTATTCCAACTTGGGGAAGTCTATATTGGACCTACCATTTCAACTTCACTCTCATTAATAGGAAAAAGTTCTCCCTAAATGAAGTGACTCGTTCAAGAACTTCAACTGTGTACTTTTAATAAATCAAAGGTGGATCCTGGCTTTCTTTCTGGCTATAATCCCTCCACCTGGAAACCAGCTGCTGCTTCAACTCTATGCTCACCAGGCCAGTCTCTTTTCCTAGAGGATGTCTAGGGCCATGCAAGGGTCTCCCTCTGCTTGCTGCCTCTTTAGAAAATTCATCTGCTTTGAATTGTGCCTGATATCCTCCAAGACTGTAGTTAGAGTCAGCTGGAACACAAGGAATACCTTTTGGTGCTAAAGCCAAGATCACTTGGATGTGCCAAATAACCCATCACTCACTAGCCCACCATTTTCTATGTTGAATGGGCTATCACAGGATCCTGGAAAGGGATATGAATAATGATTTCCTAAAAATACAACCTTCTCTCCCAAGTGCTGGGGGTTTTCTCTGCCAAAGCAAATGGGTTAGGTGGTCTTGGATACATCAACCGCGAGAACAACTGGGTCAAATAATGTTACGACATCTGATTCCAAGGCAGACATTTTCTAGGAGTCATCAAGGCTGGAATTCAAAGGACTCAGTGTTCTTCTAGTCACTGAGGTTTATGACTCTTACTGTTCCTATCATTTATTTCATATTTTTAGAGTTGAAACACATCTCCATATTTATTCCTTAAGTGCTTATCCCTCACCCCTAGCTCATTGCCTGTTTGGTTCCTATTCTCCATCTGCAGGGGCTGCACTATGGGCCTGCAGGAGAAATGTTTCTTCAGTCTTTTCCACCTGGAGAGCAAATTGCCACTAAAGTCTCAAGCACAGCTGTCCCTTGTAGAGCAATCAAGCCTGGGGAGGTGTTGATTCTCAATCTAACTCAAACTGGTTGGAGCTACTAGCTCTGGGCCAGGATTAGGAATTCTTAGATTTTCTCTCCTTTTTGGCCATGATGCTGAACAAGATCCCAGGAGCCAGAGTTTGAAGATAAATGGCCAAAAGGAAGGTAGCAAAATCTTCTTCCCCACAGCAGCAAGAACATCGTGGGCCACCTCTACAGGGCTTTGGCCCTGCGCTGTGTTCTTGTCAATAGCTCCGTATCTGGACCCATCCGTGGTAATGGTATTTGCAGAGAGGTTGATATAGATGTAGCCAGGGCTGATTGCAGTCTCCTGAATCTCATCCTGTTCCATCTCAGTACGAAAACAGTCAAAGAAGGCCTGGGTTGCATACTTGGAGGCTGCATATGCTGATCGAAAAGAAATGCTGATTTTGCCCTAATGGTAATGATGTGGCCTTGCCTCCTCTCGATCATGGAGGGCAGGAGTGCTTTTGTTAGAGAGCAATAGGGCCAAAGTAATTTGTCTCCATGACTCTCTTCAACATCCACTGTGGTGTCTGTGATGGTCCCTCGGTAGCTGATCCCAGCATTGTTGATGAGTATGTCTACATAGCCAAAGCACTGCAGGATCTTAGCTGCCACAGCAACAATAGTCCCAGTGTCTGCAAGGTCGAAGGTCACTGTGTAAGGCTTGTACATCTGCTCCTGGGAGGTATGAGAAGCAGTGAGCTCTCTGGTGAGTTCTTTGAGGGCCTCTACATTCTGGCCACAGAGCACCAGCTTAGCTCCATGGAAGGCTCTGGCACATTCTGGTTGCTGGAGAGCCCATAGTCTTTTGATTTCATGTTCTGGCCTCTGAAGGGACATAAACTCAGAGATCTAGTTAATATTAATTTTGTCTTTAATGATACTTTAAAAACAGATTCAAGGGGCTGGGATCATGGCTCAGTGGTAGAGTACTTGCCTCACACGTGTCCTCACACTGGGTTCAATTCTCAGCATAAATAAATGAATACAATAAAGGTCCATCAACAACCACAAAAAAAAAAAGATTAAAAAGATTAAAAAACAGGTTCAACTTAGAAGTGTTACATGAAAAAAATTAAGAGGCAAAAGTTTAAAGCCTTTAATAGGTTACAATTAAATAAACAAAATGGTGATTTGTTGGGAAATAAAAATTGAAGTAGAATCTCGGGCTCTCTCCATATTAGCTTTAGCTCTCATTTTCTGCCTTTTTGGTGAGCACCTTGGACAATGAGACCTCAGCACCCTAGAGGCCTCTCTGTCTTTCAGGTCAGGCATGCAGGCCACTGCTCAGAGCACCTTACCTTAAGAGAAGTCCCCAGTTTGATTTTTGGCCCCTTCCCACACCTCCAGCTAAGGAGCTGCCCTCTTAGGAGCCTTGACATTGGCCGCTATCTTCTTTTTGTTTGGTGAAGCAGCACCATTCTTGTCCTTGATGACCGTTGGTTTTGAACTCTTTTTTCTTTTCTTTTTAGTAACAGGGATTGAACTCAGGGGCACTTAACCTCTGAGCCACATCCCCAGTCTCGCTGAGTTGCTTAGGGCCTCATTAAGTTGCTGAGATTGGCTTTGAACTTGTGATCCTCCTGCCTCAGCCTCCTGAGCCAATGGGATTACAGGTGCTCACCACTGCCTCCGGCTCAATTTTTTAAATTTGTTTTTAGATATACATGACAGTCGAGTATACACTGACATATTCCACATACATTGAATATAACTTATTCTACTTAGGATTCCATTCTTGATGTTGTACATGCTGTGGAGTTCTACTAGTGTTTCTACTAGTGTTTTCATATATGAACATAGAAGAGTTATGACTGATTTATTGAACTTGTACTATTATTTTGTTACTATTATTGTGACAAAGATAGGCAAAAAAATTTCATAGTCCACACTTGCAAGAGAATTAAAAATCAATTATTAGGTATTCTTGGCCTCCAATAAACCTCCATATTTTCATTCTAAGTATTATAACTCTAAGAAAGAAGAATCTGGCTTTATTGTTCCATTGTTCTATCTTCCTTTCTTTAAAAAAATGCTTTATTTTAAACCTATGTCTACCAAAGGACCTTCTACCATCCCCCCACACACACCCACACACACAAAACTAAAGGTAATAGGAGAAAGGCACCTACATTTAACACGTGGTTTTTACCCCTAGTTCTCAAAGTCCACTAATTCATACATGTTAGGATACTCAAGATGGTGTAAGTCACCGAGAAGCAGCAATTCCTCATCTGACAGCAGCAGTTCAAGGCCAAGGAAGATTGCAAACCTCTTCTGAGCAAGAAGTAGCAATAAAAATCTCAGTTCTACAAATTCATAGAGAGTGAATGGGTGCTGCAATCTCAGGGAGTGGGAGCACAAAGCTACAGATGTTTACTGAAATGCAGAAGGTGGGTGATTTACACACTCTTTGGTCCTCAAAAACTTTCTATATGGTACCTATTTTATCCATA